CTGTGTGGATGGATTGTACATGCTGTGTGAAGTATGGGCTGTACAGTTTGCCATGCTGAAGCTGTCAGAAATAAACAGTCAGCTTTCTGAATGAGGAACTCCATCTGCTTGTAGGGTGATTGTTAGTAAGAGCTGAAGGTCTGAAGTTGTGCTCAGAAACTGAAATCGGATAGCCTTGTTTTGTCTAAAAGGTCTGCCAGAACTTTTGTCAAAGCATCTTTCACTGCATGCACTGTTCATACCTGTAGTGTCTCACTATCGCAGCGTGTAATCCCCGTGGAGAGCTGATCCCTGAGTCTTTTCAGGTTTCCCAATTGGGCCTGGAAATTCTCCTTTGCACCTCTTTATGCAAACAGAGACCCCTCAGTACTGGGCCAGTGTAGGTCGTGACCTGGCTGAGGTCGCCCATTTAGCACCCCAGGTGGCCCAACTGGTACCCTGCTGTCAGCAGACTGGACCAAACTGAGCTGCTGTGCTTGATCTATCCTCACCGACCTCATGCCCACCCTTGTCATCCAACTACCCCCCCTTCTCAGATAGCCTGGGGCAGGGATTTTGCACAAGGCCATCCTTGTCAAGATGACCCAACCAGGCTAAGCTCATTGACTGCCACAGGTGCAGAGGTGAAGTAAGAGTGACCCACTGGCCTGGGAACCGGCTTCATCACCGGCTCCCATGTTAATAACCAGAGCTGTGACAGTAAGGAATTTCATCAAAGTACCCGGTAATCAAGCCCACTTTAAACATGACTCAGCTGATCCCACACCTGCAGCAAATTAAATGTTGTAAAATGTAAGCACAATTGTAAAACCCAGTGAGATATGTCACAGCTTTTTCCATCCATACGGTATGGGGAAAATAACATTTTTTTTTAAGCTCATGCAATCTGAAAAGATTCAAATGGTTGTTGAGCTTGAAGGTTGTTGGGTTTTTCTGTCAACACCAGTGGCAGAGATTAGACTGTCAACTGTACAGCTTAGCACAGCACCAGGGCTTGGTTTTATGGTTTTTATGCTGTGCAACAAATGCCATGGTTTCGTTTTGTTGCATGGGGGGGGGATTCTCATTTCAGGTGATTTGGGTTTTGTTGCATTTGTTACGGGCTCTCATTCCAGTCTGGCCCCAAGACTGGTGTTACTGTTTTGGACTGTACATTGTGCAAGCGACATGCGCTGGCGAGCACAGCCAAATAGCACTAACAGTAGAGGGCACTTTATTCACAAGAGATGACCTGCCGGAAAAGCAGTCTTGTAGATTCTGACAGGCTTACCCGACAAATTCCGAGCATACCTCACTGTGCTAAATTACCATGAATAATTGCTCGTGTTGAGCATTAACAGTCAGTTTTTGCCCCAAAGTTTCATGGAAAGGGAACCACAGTGCAAACAATAGCTCCTACTATATAAGCCTTCCCTCCCAAGCAACCTGCTGGACACCAGTGTCAATCCCAAGCTATTTTTATAAACCTTCCCCCGCTCTGTAAATTGCAAGTTGTTTTTCAATCTCTCCTCCCCTTCTGCGGGTTCGTGGACTGAATTCCCTAGCAGGTATTCTTGAACCCTGAGACCTCACTGCTTACCCCAGCCCACTCCTTTCCAATCAAACAATTACTGGGGAGGTCACCGGTCCCACAAATAATAAAAGACCACAGTTTTTTTTTTCCCCTTCCTTCCAGTTCCCATGGAAGTATCCCAAGAGCCTGCAGGGGACCATCTGAAAATATCTCTGGTCTTTTTTTTTTTTTTAAGTGAAACCCATACAACTGTGAATTAAATTTATTGTGTGCATGTATATCTTTGTTTCTAGATTCAAAAGCATTTCTTAATTTGTATTGTTGGTGGGGTGTTTTAGTCACTACCTGTCAATAATTTCTTAGGAATTTTGCATGTATGTGCTGTACATGTATGTACATGTAATGTGGTATACATGTGTCTGTGAAGAATGATGCAAGTGAAGGTCTGGCATCCTATTCAAACTCTTACATCAAGTATGTAATCGCATACGGCAGAGGAAATAAAATGTTTACTCAGCCCATCACTGTATATAGTTTCGACATGTGAACTGAACATTGAGCAGTCCATGAATGATCCAGTTTCCATAAATAGCAACACATGAGTTTCCATGTACATTCACACCTCCCTGAAGCTGTTTCATGCTCCGAGTCGGTCTTTGTCCTCTTTTGCTTGGCATGCATTCCAACCCGTTTCTATGTCAAGTTGTGTGAAGAAAAATAAGGCCGTTAGTTTGGAAGCTTGTGTACTCAGCATTGAATATGGTGCATGAAGGCCGATAGTAATCCCAGTGCTGCAGGGCTGCTCCCAACATGTCTGAGCTCACAAGGGGGGGGAGGTAACATTACTGGCATCGATACTCGGGTAATGTTTCAATATGCGGCGTATAACGGGCGCAAATTGTTATGGGGCGTTTAGGGCTCCGTCTGGTCGCTGATGATATAATATGCACAGACAAGTCGGGCAAGACGATCCCCCTCGGATGCACGGTCTAATATTGCGCTGGCTTCGTGGCCGCCTCGTGGAGAGGAAAGTTCATTAATTATCTGGAGAGTGGTCGGACCACTTGAGCCGAAATGCAAGACCGGCTTTGGCAGTCATTGGGCAGTATCGGAAGATTATATGGGTCATCCCAGAAATTAGGGGTCCAAACGTGTGATATTTTCATGTCCCTGTCACAAACTGTTACCATTTGTTTGGCAGGTAATTTGCATTAATTCATTACTCATGGCAATTAGAAAATGTGTTCTGAACTTACAAAATCTTATATCAGATGGACTGGGACACACACAAAACGGACCCCTAATTTCTGAAATTATCCATATACAATCTACGTTAACATTCTCACTGCTGTGAAATGGCAACTGGAAGTATGCATGTACCTATGTAGGCAAATATCGCACGAATAAATGTTTTCATTAGCTAACAATGTACATATATGCTCATCTTTACATTTAAACAACAATACGCGTATGTTCTACCCTTTAGATGTAACCTGATGATGCCCCATTAGATGTGACCTAATAATCACTGTTTTTTTTTAGGGCAGCAATAAAATATTGTGACGATATTATTTTCTTGCATGTATATTAAAACATCAAGTGTAAGTCAGTTTATGCTATTTGCTTTGTTTTGCTGTAGAATCTGCGATCCACTGTTTTTCCCATTCATATTCCAGGTTGACTCGGATTTTGAATGTTTGTTCTGTGGGACAGCAGGGAAGACCTCATTGTTTTCTCTCAAATTCAGAAACAACCTGATTGGTACTGTTAGGTTTAAACACACACCCCCGTGAAAGATCTCATTTAGCCTTTTGCAGGTGGTGCCATCCCATTAATCTGTCACATTTGTACAGAGAGCAGGCAGACAGCGTGTCCCCAGACAGTGCACAAAAAACAGACCACCTGCAGAATGCCAGCTGCCAACAAACTGGGACAAATTCTGAGCTTGCAAATGCCAACTTGTGTGCCTGCGTGGTACACAATGCGCTTATAAATGTGTGACCAGTCACCAAGAGAAAAGGGTGAAAGTCGGAAGTTGCTGGAAATTGAGAAATTGGTATTTAGGAATTCAGCAGAAAAAGAGCTTTCTGATGTTGTACGTTTAGGGTAAGAGACCGGTGACAATGTGACGTTATCCTGGCAGCTTTGCATCTTTGTTTCTGAGATTGTTTCAACATTCCTTACGTGGCACGCCTAATGCTGTCAAAAAAATTGGTTCCTGTGTTACAAACCCTCCCCTCCAAATGGACTTTGCCTTCAATTTTTGTCTTTAAAGCATCAAGAGTACGAAATAGCAGAGTGCGACTTTACACTCATCTTGTCATAATTGGTCACATATGAAGATCAGTGTGCAGGCACACCCATTGAATGACACATTACTGGTACATGTACATGTAGCAGTCTCCAAACTCCAATCCCTTGATTCATCTACTTTATTTAATGGCTGGGCATCTGCTCATGGCCTATCTCGTGCACGTCCATCCGTGGGACCCCTCCAACTCCCTTCTGCTGTCAGTTATCATCCTGATCTGGAATTGATGGCCAAGGTCACTATGGCCAGCTACTTGGCATTTTGACCCTCTGTGCACAGAAGCCGAGCGAGTGAATCAGTGTGTATTGTAGATGTGCCTGGGGATTTTTCTCAGGCTGTGAGATTTTCCTTTCATAATCAGTGGACTGTTTTGCGGCATTTGTATTTTGCACTTGTGCAGGTGTTAAGTGTTTCCCGTTTAATATTTATGCTGGATTTTCATATACGATGAGCGTTAAATAAAGCCAATCACTAGTCCTCCAAAAAATTAATGAAAGTTCAATTTTGGGGCTAATAAAGGCACTGGAAAGAAATAAATAGAACCAATTACCCAAATCCAACAAAATACAGCCCAAAGAAACAACCCTCCCCAGAAAACTTGGAAATGTGATTGGCCAGTCTTTAGGCATTGTTTTAGCCAGTAGGATTTCCAGACATCTTTGGTTGCTTAAATATTTGTCCTAACAGTACCACCTTTTATTGTACATTTGCATGAATGTTCATTTCTGAAAAATTGCATATTACAAAAATGAGGCATCCGATATTACTATTTTTCACTATGTGTTTTCATAGTTATAAAAGGTATTATGCTGTTTTTGTACATGGACAGTATCTGAAAACGTCTTGCACCGATACATCTACCGGTACGAGTTCCTGGCATAAAATGCTGTGGATTTTTGTAACCCATTGTTAAACTTCCATTATTACATAGAAACTTTGCTGAGTGTATTTCTGTGGTGAGCAGAAATGGCTGGGTGCCTGTCAGTAATGAACACTCGAGGCTTTGTAATTTTAGCTGGTAACCCTCTATTTGCTAAGCATGCATTTCTTGTCAGCAGGATTACCGGTAGGTGTGTGGACAGCCCTATGGCATCGACTGCGTAATAAAATTCTGATGAGCGGAAACTTGTGTTCTTACCAGGAATTTTTTTTTTCACCTTTTTTCTTGTGTTACAGATGGTCCATGGATGTTCTATTTCAATGTCAAGTTCTACCCTCCAGACCCTGCCCAGCTCAAGGAGGATGTGACCAGGTAAATCTCGCATTCCGTCATTGTCAGTCCGGGTGCCCGCGACTCAGCCTGACAACCACCATTAACCCACCGTTTTGCAGTGTCACATACAACCTCTGATCTTCCTGACATTTGACAGAACGTTTCTCCTCTGAAGTGCTCTCCACAAAAAGATTGATCGCTCTCTTGTTTGCTGGAGCGCTGTAATGTGACGGCCCGAGTGTGTGTGTGTGCTGTACTTTTGAAGACATTCTCCAGTGAGGCTGGTCCCTGGGTCCACGTGTCGAGGCATTGATGTTGTCGGCGAGTTTTAATTGCAGGCTTGACTTGTACCTAAGTGATACTGAGCTGGTCGTTTGGAGAGCTTGGCACTGCGTGAATTTAAATGATGTATGGCGTTGATCCCTTGAACCCGTGCCAGAGTTGATGGTTCCTTTGAAATGTCAATTTTTATTTGAGCATAGCATGTTGTTCACGAAGCGGAAATTTGGCATGCAGATGGAATGCATTTTGTGGGGAGCGTTACATGTACATGTACCTCACTGGAAATACTTAGGTTAGCTTTGAACTGGCACATGTCGTTTTGGGCGGCGAGGGAAATTATTTCACCCGAGATATTTCAGTCGCACAGTGCCGAGTAAATTGCGGCCGGCATCTGCCTCCCTGAATGAGATCCCAAAGAGCAAGAGTGGCGTTTGATCTTGAGTTGATTATGGAGCCTATTTCCTCTGGTGTTTTTGCCAGGGACCTTCCCTGAATCCTGCAAAATCCTCCACTATGCGAGAGAAACCAACATGTGCGTTCTTTGCCCCTGTTTAACTGGCGGGGGACATCAAGGCCCGTGTAAAACAATGTGAAGAATGATGAAAGAAGACACAAGAAGTGCTTCTTGTTCGGGCAGCATGAGTTGTCGCAAGGAGTGGCTGTTTCTATTATTAATACGGGCGATTCAAATAGCGCGCCACCAGGAGTTTGCAACACGTTGGCCAATCATAGCGCGCGAAATTTGTCGCCCCCTTTCCAAACACGCATTGGGTCGACAAATTTTGCGCACTGTGATTGGCTAACGGGTTGCAAACTCTTGGTGGCACACTATTGTGAAACGGCCGTATTAGAATGAACTATTGATGTACAGTGTACAATATTAGTATTTACTACTTTGAAGTTTATACGGTAGGACCGGTTGTTTTTGGTCAGGTTGACAAAGTGAAGGAAGTATGCTGTATTGTGGGAAAAACTTGACACCATGTGGCTCCATCACACAGCAATTACACTTCCTATTCAGCCGCTTACAGCCAAATTGTGCAGCCGTCGTGTCCCAACATGCAATCGTTCCAAAATTTCTTGTGCTTGTGGGTTCCCATCGGTTTCACTTCCTGGAAGTGGTGCTTTTTAAATGGGGCAGTCGACAGTGAAGCTAGAGTTTCCAATAGCAAGCTCTGATCCAGGAATAACGCCCGCGACTGCATAGTCGCCGGGTCGCGAATTTCACCACCTGTTATCAAGTCTGGTTTTCACAGCAAGTGGCGAAATCAGAGACCTGGTGGCTATACGGTCTCGAACGTTAGACTGCCTTGAGATTTACTTTGGGGGACGGAGGGGTGCACCGTATTTTGCATCGTTCCCTCCTGATTGTGGTGATGCCGATCCTCTGAAACCAGGTTCCTTGTTGTTTCCTCCCCCTACCGGCCCCCTCCCCAGATATTTCTTGTGCCTGCAGCTGCGCGACGACATCCTGAAGGGTAAATTGCCCTGTTCCCTGGTCACGCACGCCCTCCTGGGCTCCTACGTGGTGCAGGGCGAGCTGGGCGACTACGACCCGGAGAGGCACGGCATCGACACCAACTACCTGAAGGAGTTCCGCTTTGCCCCCAACCAGACCCACGAGCTGGAGGAGAAGGTCATGGAACTGCACAAGACTCACAAGTGAGTAGGGCTGAGCAACTGTTGTTCGCATAACTGGTCAGAACATTGATTATTGGGTGAAATGTGTCACCATGTACATTTGTGGC